TGAGGAAATCAGTAAATTTAGGTAATTTAGTTAGTCTCTAGTACTTGTTAAGGGAATGCTGATTTTGGCGGATAACATACCCTCGAAAAAAGAGAGGGCGGGTGGGCGGGGTTAGTACTTACTAAGATAAGACTGATGATGGCAAACGATACACCCTTCTATTTTCTTAGAAGGTATCATTTGCCGAATTCAGTCTTGCATTAACAAGTACGCTTAGACGGTATGTCATTCGCCAAAATCCGTCTCATCTTAGCAAGTAGTTCATTTTATCTTTTAAGATAAAACTGATTTTGGCAAATGACATACCTTCTAAGAACAGAGAGGGTGGGTGTGTGGAGCTAGTACCTGCTAAGATAAAACTGATTTGGCAAATTACATACCTTCTAAGAAAAGAGAGGGTGGGTGGGTGGGGCTAGTACCTTTTAAGATAAAACTGATTTTGGGCAAATGACATAGCTTCTAAGAAAAGAAAGGGTGGGTGGGTGGGGCTATTACCTGCTAAGATAAAACTAATTTTGGCAAATGACATTACTTCTAAGAAAAGCCGCTCTTTATTTTCTTAGAGAATATGTCATTTGCCAAAATCGGTCGCACTTTTGAAAGTACTAGCCCCACTCACCCACCCTCTATTTTCTTAAAGAGTATATCATCTGCCAAAATCAGTCTTATCTTACCAAGCACTAGCCCCGCCCGCCCACCCTCTCTTTTCTTAGAGGATATGTCATCTGCCAAAATCGATCTTAAACTCAACTCAAGATAAGAGAGGGTGGGTTGGGCTAGTACTTATTAAGGGAATACTGATTTTGATGAATAACATACCCTCGAAAAAAAGAGAGGGCGGGTGGGCGGGGCTAGTACTTACTAAGATAAGACTGATTATGGCAAATGATACACCCTTGTATTTTCCTAGAAGGTAGCATTTGCCAAAATCACTATTGCCTTAACAAGTACGCTTAAAAAGTATGTCATTCCCCAAAATCAGTCTTCTCTTTGCAAGTAGTAGCCGTGTCCATCCGCCCGTTATTTTCTTAGAGGGTATGTCATTTACCAAAATCACTGTCGCATCCAATCAAAAAACTTACTAAAATAAGATTGATTTTGACAAATGATACACTGATACACCCTTCTAAGATTTTCCTAGAAGGTATCATTTGCCACAATCAGTCTTATCTTAGCATGTAGTACTTTGCCCGCTCACTCGCCCATTATTTTCCTAGAGGGTACATCATTTGAAAAAGTCAGTCTCATCTTAATAATTGCTAGTCCCGCCCACCCGCCGTCCATTTTCTTAGAGGGTATGTCATTGTAGCCATCGATTTTGGCGTACTTAATTACATTCGATGATTTTCAAACAGTTCGGACAAATCTAAAAAGCTAGTTAAAAGCTTAGAAATCTCTATTATAAATCGGAAAAAAATAAGCACGTAATTTTAACTTTATTTACTGTATGGTCGCGGGATGAGAAGATAGAAAAAAGAGACTGAAGCTGTACTTTGTTTGAGTAAAATATATTAAAATTATTTTTGAATATACCGAGTGTTTTATTTTTGAGACATACCACACGACTTAGCTTTTTCAATTAGAACGTCCTATATATTTTAACATATTCTAATTTTTGAAATTCCGATACTGGTACCTGCTTGGATAAGGTTGATTTTGGCAAATAACATAACGCTAAGAAAAAAGAGGGTGGGTGGGTGGGGGGGGCTAGTAGCTGCTAGGATAAGACTGATTTTGGTAAATGAGATCCCTCTAAAAAATAGAGGGCGGGTGGGTGGGGCTAATACTTACTAAGATAAGACTGACTTTTGCGAATGATATGCCCTCTAAGAAAATAGGTATCATTTGCCAAAGTCAATCTTATCTTAGCAAGTACTAGCCCCACCCACCCCTCTCTATTTTCTTGGAAGATATGTCCTTCGCCAAAATTAGTCTTGTCTTAGCAAGTACTAACCCCGCCCACCCACCCTCTCTTTTCTTAGAAGGTATATCATTTGCCAAAATCAGTCTTATCTTGGCAGTTACTAGCGCCCCCCCACCCACCCTCTCTTTTCTTGGAGGATATGTCATCTGCCAAAATTAGTTTTATCTCAGCAGGTACTAGCCCCGCCCACCCACCCTTTCTTCTCACAAAGGGTATCTCATTTGCCAAAATCAGTCTTATCTTACCAACTTTTATTTTCTTCTGTCGAGTGGGAGTGGAAACTAATAATAATAGAATCTAGGATGTGAAAAAGTAAAAAAAAGCGCTAATATTTAAAATTGCTGTATGTCAATTGGCGATTTTCGGATAAACGAAAACGAAAATGACTTCTGGAGATCGAAATGTACAAGAAAATGTTTTCAACTAATTTCTGAAATAGTTGAAAAATGGTGGAAAATGTCAAAAATGCCAAAATCAATCTTATCGTATCAATATTAGAAATACCAATTGTACAACACGTTTAATATGATACATTTTTGTAAGGAAATATGGATTTTGCAATTAGGCTCCACCCCCTTAGCTCACGACATATAAAAAAAATCATCACAATTGGGACAGGGTGGGTGGGTGGGGCACCATTTTCGTTACTATTTACATCAGGGCAGGTATGGGTGGGGCTTAATCTTTGGCTTCAATTTTTTCTTAATATATGTACGTAGTATTCTCTTAATAACGCGATACTCAAAAACATGTCTTACGTGGTAATTTCTTCTAGAAAAGTAATAAGGATTTTGCAATAAAATTCTGCTCCTTTGGCTCTCGACTATTGAAAAAAAATCATCACAATTGAGATAGGGTGGGTGGGCGGGGCTTAGATTTTTCTCATTTTCTTAATATACGTAGTCGTCTTTTCAGAACAAGAAACTTAAAACATGTTTAAAATGGTAAATTCTTGTAGACAAATATGAATCTTGCAGTTAAGCTCCGCCCCTCGATCTGACAACGAATGAAAAATTCATCACAATTGAAAATTAAGATCGGGGCGGATATGGGTGGGGCCTAATCTTTGGCTTTATTTTTTTGTTAATAGACATAGTAATTCTTCGAATAACACGATACTCAAACAGATGTTTTTAATTTATCGTAGAGAAATAAGGATTTTGCAGTTGCATAAAAAAATCATCACAATTGAGATGGGGTGGGTGGGCGGGGCTACATTTTGCCTTTCTTTTTTTAATATGTGTAGACTTATTTCGACAACAAGAAACTTGAAATATGTCTAAAGTGGTCAATTTTTGTAGTAATCCAGACTTTAAAAGTAACCCAATTGAGATTTTTCGATTGTCAAAAATTTCCAAGAAAATTGGAATAATTTGGCAGCGTCGAGTCCGAATTTCTAAAAGAAGTTGTTGTAGTTTTAAACCTTAGGAAGACGTTAATCAAAATATACAGGGTGATCCTTTAAATTTCTTCTTCTTTCAATTGCATTGGTAACGTACGCGTTATAGCCCACTAGAACAGAAATTTAAAAAATCGCACGGTATAAAAATATATAGAATATTGTATCTGAAACAAACAAGATTACCCTTCAAAAACAGAAATCTCTGAATAGCTGAAAATAATTTTGGAAAATGGATTTATTTTCCGAACTTAAAGGTAACGTCATCAAAAAATTGCTATAAGTTTCAGAAAAGTTGATGTAATAGTTTTTAATGTGTAGAAAAATTTTGGAAAACATCATTTCTAGGAACAAAAATTCCATTAAAAAAACCGTTTGAAAATTCCGTAGTTTAAAGTCGCGTATAATTGGTTGCATGTCTAATACAATTTAACCAAGAAAATATACAGCAATCAAAAACGGCCATAAATTTTTGATGATTTTACTTTAATAGAATTTTCGTCGTGTCTGATTACCGTCAATTTGAAATTTAGTTCAAAATATAAAAATCAAAGGGACATTTTCGAAAGTTTGATCGTGTTTTTATTGATCTCCCGGTATAGCATTTTCAAACATTTACTGAAACACCAGACCACCAAAATCGTTGATAACAACTGAATAAAAAAAAAACTGCCATTGAAATACCGGGTAGCTACTGAATTGGTGTCCAAAATTTGGATTTTAAATATGTTACCAAGCTGACAAAAAAGAGGCACAAACATTATTAATTTTACATTTGGTGAACAATTTGTTAAAAAACCCTTCTGGGTCATTTTTCATTCTACCTTTTTTTCTTACAGATCAAAATTTTGACGTACGAATTTTATTTTGAATTTTAAGACTTATCACTAGACTATTATTATGTATTATGTTCTCAATAAATTTTCAAATTTTATTGTTCAATTTTTAGTTTTCTTCCAAACATCTAAATGTCTAGATTATTTTGTATAATATTAATAATAATAAAAATACTGAAGTCTTTAAAATTTGTTAATTTTTTTTTTCTATCGTCACATTATTGATGGGGATGACGGGCAATTTTTTTATTTTTGGGTCCACCCAAAGTTCCACAGCGGGACCTACTTTCTTACATTCTAGGAGCAAGGAAACGTCAAGCAAAATGAAATTACCGCCGAAAAATTCTGAATCGACTAGGTCACAATAATTTATTCTTTGTATTTATTGTGACCTAGTTAAGTTGTAACATCCTTAGCCATTATGATGCAATGACCCCCACAACCGAAAAAGCGCATACTTGCAAACAATTCTGGGAAATACGTGCATTGTAACTGTACAAAATGAGCAAATTTGACTCAAAACTAATTGGAACTAATTTAAAATAATTGCAAATTTTATCCACCACAAACAAAAAACACAACAACAGAAAAATAACAGTGAATAAAAACCAACAAACAAACAAAAACTTAGACCCATTATCGCCCTCCCGCTAATTAGCGCCCATTTCCCCCCAATTAAATCGCCCCTCGCACCCTCTTCTCCGTTTTCGCCCGACCTCCAAATCGAAACCCGTGTCTAAACTTCCACTTCCCGAAATATCCCCACAAAGCCACAACTCGCACTGCGGCCGCAGCCCGCGCCTGATAGAGCCCCGCGCCCCCGCCGGTCACGTGACCCCAGCACGTGCAAATTTGGCTCGGCTCACCATCGCGACTACCAGACCCACCGACCAACCAACTCGCCGAGTCGGCATCGGCAGATGGGAGCGCCGAGCGCCGTATTCGTACACTCGTGCAACAAGTGAGGGGCGGTGTTCCTCCCAGCGGTGCAAGTGGCGGCCTTTTGAGTCTTCCGAAACCACCAGGTGAGTCGTGCCCGTGTGGCTTGCCCGAAATGGCCATTTTCCCCGAAACGCCGGCGTCACCACGTGATGCGGCACTGTGGCACCGGGAAGCCGGAAGCGGCGGCGGGAGCGGGATCGATCGCTGCGGCGCCGCCCCTCGGCGGGCTCACGTGCTAGCCGAACTGGAACACTAGAATTATTTAGATTTAGATGTGACTAACGCTTGTGTACTTTTTGATTAATCGGGTTTATTAGCTTGGGCTGAACAGGGCGGGCTTCGGGCGGAATTTGACGCTGGAGGTTTGTGTTTTGTGCATGAACGTAACCGTTTTTTGGTGAAGGTTCATTTGGGTTTTAGTATGACGTCATCGGTTTTCTGGAGAAAACGAATGAATAAATTTTAATTAAGGTGACGAATAAATTGGTGTTGGTGGCTTACCGGAATCTCGCACAAACACGTCAAGTAGGGGACAGTGGGGCAACGTGGCGCGAGAAATTATGTGATTTATGGCAACTTTTACGAATTTTTGCCATTGTATGCTAAAACTGTTTCTTGGATATTAAATATTTTGAAATGACGTCATCGGATTTTTAGAGCTTGGACGTAAAAGTGGAAAGTTTATTTTGATTCGCAACGTGATGATTCTTAAATGGATGCTAAACTGTTAAAATATATGCAGCAGCCCTGATCTTGAGACATGTATTTCAACAAAGATATATTTCGTGTTTTTTTTTGGTATCAGTTTCCAAGGAGAAATGAGTAGATAAATTTTAGCAATCGCTAAATCAACACCACCAAAATATCTAAATCCCTCAATTTTCATGTCCCACTAAAATTTCAAAGAAGGCTGTTATCTAATCGTCGAGATAAACAACTGCACTTTTTGTTTTAACATGACGTCATCGTTTTTTGGAATTCAAGAAACAGGAATGAATTTTGACGAAGAAGATTTTTATTATAGAGGTAATTTCAATTTTATATGTGTGTGACCAATATCATGGTAAAACGCTTCCCAGAGATCCTTTAAGGACTTCTTGAATGGGCGGGACTAGTAGCTGCTAAGATAAGACTGATTTTGGCCAATGAGATATCTTCTAAGAAAAACGAGGGTGGGTGGGCGGGGCTAGAATTCTCTGAAATCTTGCAACGTTTTGAGGTTATAGTAAGCGTGGTAAATCGGTAATCAAAAACCCCAGAAATTGATGACGTCATCTCAAATAAAAATAAAATAAAGTTGCGCTTTATCGCGGTCGTAAATCAAATTAAAAGCAATAATTTTTGATAATAAATGTGTTGTTTACCTACATATGCAGTTTTTTAAATGGTGTTTATTTTTGCAAACCACACGGCCGACGTTAATAAGGCTAAAAACAAGTTTTTCTGATTGATTTTATCGCTTTTGCTATTGTCGCCGTGTATGCTTTTGTTAATTTGTTATTACATTACTGAAAACAGTAGTGTTCATACGCAGAAACTCGCTGGTTTTCCACTTTACAACAGTGAATAGTGTGTTTGATATTGTTGAAGGTTTGTATAGCAACATAATTTTGTAATTTAGTAAAAAATTTTATTATTTATTTATTACAAAAAGTAAAACTATACAAACATGCTTTGATCCTTCCTCTTTCAAAATCATCAATAACTCCAAAGAAAGAATGTACAATGAAAGAGCAATTCGTTTTTTCCGCAAGTGAGACACTATTTCTTACCGATTTTGGCGCAACAGCCGCCTTAAGTAAAAATGCCACTGCCATTATTTATAGCTTAGCAGTAATTATAAACTCATAAATCATCGTTTTTATAGTACGTGCTTCCTTCATTACATTTTTATAAACTTCCCCGGTTTATGCAAATACGATGTTTCTTGTTCTTTTTTCGTTGTATTAGTTTTTAATATTCCCGTGACCAAAAAAACCGGTTTTCGTTTCGGCGGTTAAGTTCCCGTTTTCGAAATTTAGTGGTGCTGTAATATTAATTCGTTCCTCTACTCGATGTCGAACCAGAAGCCGGAAATACTAAACTCTAAATTCTAAGCACGCGCCGCCGTAAATTGAGAGTGTTAAAAATAAATTCTTGAGTCTCAACACGCCATACGAGGAAGTTTGTATTTTTACAAAACAAGTTCGGAGAAGTGTTTTTTTTTAACTGCCTTCGTTAATAAAAAAAAGAGTTAATGAAGTTCAGTTGAATAATTAATTCATTATAGAAATTGCTACTTACGGACTTTGTGTACACTCGATAATAAGTTATCAGTTAGCACGGTAGAGTATGGTTCAAGGTGTTCGTGTACTATCTGCGTTGTGATTTTTTTAATACTATGGTCGCGTTTTATCCCACCTTACCTTACCTTACCTAGTCTCACAAAGCACCATGTTAATCCCCTTTTGTAGTTGTATTGATTGAATCAGGAAAGTATTTGCTCATTCCCCCTAATAAATTGGTGACGTCACCCCAAAATTTTTCGATGTGCAAAATATGATCAGTCTATACTTGTAATTTATATTCAGTCGATTTATTATTGATTTATTTTCTCGAAAATGTGAGAATACGCTTGTCTTTATAACAATAAAGCAATGATTCAGTAAGAATTATAATTATAACATTGAGAATATTTTGGGCGTTCCATTAATTTATGACTTGCAGCCAGGCAGCCACCTGCACAAAGAGCTGCCGCTCGAGTTTTGTTTGCAGTATCGTTTCGCATTCTTAAATGCTTTTTTCATCGTTCAAGAAAGTGTATATGTTAAAATGGTAAATTTGTATAGGGGAATCGATTTTGCAATGACGCTCCGCCCCGCCCCTCGATCTGAGAACAAATGAAAAATTCATCACGATTACTTAAGAACATATTTCATATGGTAATTTCTCGTAAAAAAATAAGGATTTTACTATTAAGTCCCTCCCCCCGGCTTACGACGAATAAAACAAATCATCAGAATTGAGACAGGGTGGGTGGGCGGGGCTTATATTTTGCCTTTTTTTTTTCTTACTATACATAGCCATCTTTACACAACAATAAACTTAAAACATGGTTAAAATGGTACACTTTTACAAGGAAATATGGATTTTGTAATGGGAGGGAGCCATTTTCAACAAGTTTTAAGTTTGATGGTGTGAAAATAAGTCTACACATATTAAAACAAAAAGGCAAAATTAAGCCCGCCCACCCGCCCTATCTCGATTGTGATGATTTTTTTAATTCGCCGTGAACCAAGAGGGCGGAGCTTAACGGCAAAATACTTATTTTTACAAGAAATTACAAACATATTTTTGAGTATCGTGTTGTTCAAAGAATACTATCTACATTAAGAAAAAAAAGGCAAAATATTAACCCCGCCCACCCACCCTATCCCAATTGTGATGATCTTTTTTATTCTTACAAACTTAAAACACGTTTAAAATGGTAAATTTTTATAAGGTAATACGGATGTTGCAATTAAGCCCCACCCCTCGATCTGGCAACGAATGAAAAATTCATCACAATCGAGAATTGCGATCGGGGCGGGTATGGGTGGGACCTAATCTTTGACTTTATTTTTTCTTAATATACAAAGTAATGACAATAAGAATCTCAAATTGTATTAGGAAATATCGATTTTGCAATTACGCTCCGCCCCTCGGTCTAACAACGAATGAAAAAATTATCACGATTGAGATCGAGACGGAGGGGTGTGGCTTCTCGTTTGCGTTAGTTTTCTTTGTATAACATGATTACTTAAGAACACATTTCATATGGTAATTTCTCGTAGAAAAATAAGGATTTTACAATTAAGTCCCGCCCCTCGGCTTACGACGAATAAAACTAATCATCAGATTTGAGACAGGGTGGGTGGGCGGGGCTTATATTTTGCCTTTTTTTCCTTAATATACACAGCCATCTTTTCACAACAATAAACTTAAAAGATGGTTAAAATGCTATACTTTTGCAAGGAAATATGGATTTTGTAATTATGGGACGGAGCCATTTTCAACATGTTTTAAGTTTGATGTTGTGAAAATAAGTCTACACATATTAAAACAAAAAGGCAAAATGTAAGCCCGCCCACCCGCCCTATCTCGATTGTGATGATTTTTTTTATTCGCCGTGAACCAAGAGGGCGGAGCTTAACTGCAAAATACTTATTTTTACAAAAAGTTAGAAACATGTTTTTGATTATCGTGTTGTTCAAAGAATACTATCTGCATTAAGAAAAAGAAGGCAAAATATTAACCCCAGCCACCCACCCCATCCCAATTGTGATGATTTTTTTTATTCTTACAAACTTAAAACACGTTTAAAATGGTAATTTTTTATAAGGAAATAGGGATCTTGCAATTAAGCCCCACCCCTCGATATGACAACGAATGAAAAATTCATCACAATTGAAAATTGCGATCGGGGCGGGTTTGGGTGGGGCCTAATCTTTGACTTTATTTTTTTCTTAATATACAAAGTAATGACAATAAGAAACTCAAATTGTATTAGAAAATGTCGATTTTGCAATTACACTCCGCCCCTCGGTCTGACAACGAATGAAAAATTTATCACGATTGAGATCGAGACGGAAGGGTGTGGCTTCTCGTTTACGTTAGTTTTATTTGTATAACACGATTACTTAAGAACACATGTCATATGGTAATTTCTTGTAGAAAAATAAGGATTTTACAATTAAGTCCCGCCCCTCGGCTTACGACGAATAAAACTAATCATCAGATTTGAGACAGGGTGGGTGGGCGGGGCTTATATTTTGCCCTTTTTTCCTTACTATACATAGCCATCTTTTCACAACAATAAACTTAAAACATGGTTAAAATGGTACACGTGCAAGGAAATATGGATTTTGTAATTATGGGACAGCCATTTTCAACATGTTTTAAGTTTAATGTTGTGAAAAGAAGTCTACACATAATAAAAGAAAAAGGCAAAATGTAAGCCCGCCCACCCGCCCTATCTCGATTGTGATGATTTTTTTATACGCCGTGAACCAAGAGGGCGGAGCTTAACTGCAAAATACTTATTTTTACAAGAAATTAGAAACATGTGTAAATTTTTATAAGGAAACATGGATCTTGCAATTAAGCCCCACCCCTCGATGTGACGACGAATGAAAAATTCATCGCAATTGAGAATTGAGATCGGGGCGGCAGGTATGGGTGGGGCCTAATCTTTGACTTTATTTCTTTCTTAATATACAAAGTAATGACAATAAGAAACTCAAATTGTATTAGGAAATATCGATTTTGCAATTACGCTCCGCCCCTCGGTCTAACAACGAATGAAAAAATTAACACGATTGAGATCGAGACGGAGGGGTGGAGCTTCTCTTTTGGTTGTCCTTTTTTTGTAATTAATACAATTAGTTTTCTTTGTATACCTAACACGATTACTTAAGAACATATTTCGTATGGTAAGTCCCGCCCCTCGGCTTACGACGAATAAAACAAATCATCAGAATTGAGATAGAGCGGGTGGGCGGGGCTTATATTTTTATAAAAAAATATGGATTTTACAATTAGGCTCCGGCCCTAGGTCTAGGACAGGTGTGTGTGAGACTTAATCTTTGGCTTTACTTTTTTCTTAATATATGTATACAGTGTTCTTTGAATAACATGGTATATACATGGTAATTTCTTAGACAAATAATAAGGACTTTGCAGTTAAATTCGCTCCTTTGGCTCTCGACGATTAAAAAAAAAATTCATCAGAATTGAGACAGGGTGGGTGGGCGGGGCTTATATTTAGCCTGTTTTTCTGAATATGTGTAGTCATCTTTCCACAAGAAACTTAAAACGTGTTTAAAATGGTAAATTCTTGTACACAAATATGGATTTTGCAATTAAGCCCCGCCCCTCACAACGAATGAAAAATTCATCACAATTGCGGAGTGAAATCGGGGCGGGTATATGTTTTTCTTAATGTACATAATATTCTTTGAACAACACGATACTCAAAAACATGTTTTTAATTTCTCGTAGAGAAACAAAGATTTTGCAGTTAAACTCCGCCCTCTTGACTCACGACGAATAAAAAAATCACCACAATTGAGATAGGGTGGGTGGGCGGGGCTACATTTTACCTTTCTTTTCTTAATATGTGTAGACTTATTTCGATAACAAGAAACTTAAAACATGTCTAAAATGGTACTATCAACTTCAACTTCAGCGAATTTATAAAGCCTACTTTAGCTGACCAGTCTCACAAAGCACCATATTAATCCCCTCGTGCTTTGTATTGTACAACTGAAAAACGGGAATGGAGTTGTCAGAGTAGTCACCTAGGATTTAATTTTTTTAGGGGCGTGATCTAAAACTCGTTCACCTGGTTTCAAAGGGACACACAAAAAAAACGTGAATGGAAACACTGTTGCCATTCTTTCTTATCTTGTCCAGACATGTGTTTGTGATAAGAGCGTTTTCTATTGTAAATTTAACCGCAGCATCCTTAATCGAGGTCACTTTTAACGTAACGAACTTTTCAAATGTTTCTTTAGTTACGTTTTCATCATTTTTGCAGCCTACTCGAACCACGTAAATTTGTGTGGGTAATATTTTTTTTTTTTTCGATTTTATTGTTTTCGTTTTTACATCATGCAGACTCCGGAGGAAGTTTAGTTCGCCGGCGTGGGTTTAAATTGATGGTATATCTTTATCACGTGTTGTTCTGTTTCCGTTTATGTATGAAGTTAGTACCCATCCGACGAATTAACGACGTTAGCGGACGGGAAAATCAAGGATATAAAATTTAATAGATGATCAAACCCAGCGTAAAACTAAATAAAAATAAACCGATATGTAGCCAAAACACGTGTTGTGATTTAACCGCTAATAAAGTAACACTCAAATAAACAAATTTGAGTATGATACTAATCGCAAGCGCCGGAAATGACATCAATGTTAAACAACTGTATTAATTCACCCTCGTTTGTTCAGTTCGTTGTAGCCATGGCGTCAGTAGATGTAAATTTCATTTCAAATTTGCCACCCGGTCCCCTCGATGCCTACAGGAAACGAGCCACATTCGACTGGAAACAAATGAAGCTGTTCTTCGAAGATGCAGAATTGTTGAAAGTTAAGGTAAACAGTTAAACACACTAGGTATTATATTTTGAACCCTCTTTAATCCGGTAACACAGATGCAGCTGTGGCAGTGCTTAGAAAACGACCCGATTTTCGAAAGATCGCTGGTCGTGCAACCCACCGAAGACATGAAGCGAATCACGGCCCTCCAGCTGCACAATTTCCGTCGGTACAAAATTTTGACACCAAAAATGGCCAAGTTACCTTACAAGAAGAAGGTGAGTTTGGGTTGTAGAATGGATGGTTTATGGCTTGACTTTTTTTAGACTCGCCTTTTGATGACTATTAACGAGGCGTTGGCCGTGACCTTCCCCGACGTGTCTGTAAAGCACGCCCTCGGTGTAGACCTTTTCAAAAACACGTTGACGACATTAGGGACTGAAAGACACCAGCACATTTTGGACGCCGCTTGGAACGGGACAGCGCTGTCGTGCCTGGCCCTCACGGAAGTCGCGCACGGTAGCAACACGAAGAAGATGCGCACCACGTCCACCTACGACAAGAATACTCAAGAGTTCGTAATAAACACGCCGGATTTCCAAGCCGCCAAGTGCTGGGTGGGCAATTTGGGTAAATCTTGTACGTTAGCGCTGCTTTTTGCTCAACTGTACACCAACGAACAGTGTTATGGTTTGCACGCCTTCGTCGTGCCGATAAGAGACCCAGTGACGCTTTTGCCCTACCCGGGGGTCACTATAGGGGATATGGGGGAGAAAATCGGGCTGCATGGCATCGACAATGGGTTAGGACGTGATTATGATACCCCAAAAATGCATTTTTGATTTTGTAGGTTTATAATGTTCAAGGATTATAGAATACCGAGGGAAAACCTTCTGAATCGTACCGCGGATGTGACGCCGGAGGGAGAGTACAAGAGCAGTTTTTCCGAGCCGGGGAAAATTCTGGCAGCCGCTTTGGAAAATTTGTCCGCGGGGCGCGTTGGGATTATGCAAGAAAGTTCCAATAATCTGATTTGTGCGGTCACGATAGCCGTGAGGTACGCGGCGCTCCGGAAGCAATTTAATTGCAAACCGGATGACGATAACGAGACTCCCATCATCGAATACCAGCTTCACGTTAGTACCAATTATTTATAATTTAGCCGCGCGGCACCTGGAAAATTGTTACACTATGTGGTCTACGGGCTAATAATTTTTCTGTTTAAGTATAGTCACTTTTAACGTTTTCAAAAAATTTTTTTGAAAATTTTGGATTTTTGTTTCAAAATTTTTGGATTTTTTTTCAAATTTCTCGGTTTTTTGAAGATACGTCGTAAAGAAATTTCAGATTCGTAGTCTGTGGATACTTGTTTATACGCCAACAATTTTTCTGTCTAAATAAGCCACTTTTAACATTTTTAAAAATAAATTTTTGGAAAAATTTCGCCCGCATTTGTCATTTGATTGACACGTTATTACAAAAAAACACTTCGAATTCGTATCAATGTAATTTTTTCTGTGTGAAAACAGCTGCTTTTAATACTCCCAAATAATTTTTGATTTTTTGGGGAATTTTTGACTTTTTTTTCTCGTATTTCTTGGTTATTTGAAGATACATATATAAATTTCATACTCGTAAACTGTGAATAATTCTCTATAAGTAAATAGAGTCACTTTTAATATTAAAACAAAAAATTGAAAGTGTTTTTCAAATTTTTGAATTTTTTGGAATTTTTTGATATTTTTCTTATATTTCTCGGTTAGTTAAAGAGCTATCGTTAAGAGATTTCAGACTCCTATTCTGTGGATAATTTACTAAAAACGAACATTTTTCTCTGTTTAAATAGAGCCACTTTTAACATTTTCAAAAAAAAAAAAATTGAAAATTTTGCCGCCGTATTTGTCGCCTAATTAAAGAGGTATTGCAAAAAGCATTTTAGATTCGTAATTTTCGGACAATTCTTTACAAGCTAGCAACTGTTTCTGTTTGAAAAGAGCCACTTTTAACGTTTTCGAATTTTTTTTTTGAAAATTTTCGAATTTTTTCTAGCATCATTCGCTTGATTGAAGATTTATCCGCAAAAAGGATTTCAGATTCGTCATCTGTTGCATTATGTATAAGTCATCACTTTTTTCCTCTCAAATAAAACCAATTTGAAATTTTTTCCAAAATTTTTGGATTTTTTTTCACTTTTATGGGTTTTTTGAAGAGATATCGTAAAGAAATTTCAGACTCACACAGTCTGTGGATTCTTGTTTATAAGCTAACAATTTTTTCAGTTTGAAGACAGCTCATTTTAATGGTCCCAAAAAAGTTTTGATTTTTTTGGGGAATTTTTGACTTTTTTTTTTCTCGTATTTCTTGGTTATTTGAAGATATATAGAGAAATTTCAGACTCGTAAACTGTGGATAATTCTCTATAAGTAAATAAAGTCACTTTTAATATTAAAAAACAAAAAATTGAAAGTGTTTTTCAAATTTTTGATTTCTGGATTTTTTTTGATATTTTTCTTGTATTTCTCGGTTAGTTAAAGAGCAATCGTTAAGAGATTTCAGACTCGTATTCTGTGGATAATTCTCTATAAACGAACATTTTTCTCTGTTTAAATAGAACCACTTTTAACATTAAAAAAAAACAATTTGAAAATTTTGACCCCCTATTTGTCGCCTAATTAAAGAGATATTGCAAAAAGCATTTTAGATTCGTAATTTCCGGAGAACTTTTTACAAGCTAGCAACTTTTTCTATTTGAAAAGAGCCACTTTTAACGTTTTCGAAAAATGTTTTTGAAAATTTTGGAATTTTTTCTAGCATCATTCGCTTGATTGAAGACATATCCGCAAAAAGGATTTCAGATTCGTCGTCTGTTGCATTATATATGTCACCACTTTTTTCCTCTCAAATAAAACCATTTTGAAATGTTTTCCAAAATTCTTGGATTTTGGGTTTTTTTGAAGAGATATCGTAAAGAAATTTGAGACTCATACAGTCTGTGGCTCCTTGTTTATAAGCCAACAATTTTTTCAGTTAGAAGACAGCTGCTTTTAATGCTCCTAAAAAAGTTTTGATTTTTTTTGGGGAATTTTTAACTTTTTTTTCTCGTATTTCTTGGTTATTTGAAGATATATAAAGAAATTTCAGACTCGTAAACTGTGGATAATTTTCGATAAGTAAATAAAGTCACTTTTAATATTAAAGAAACAAGAAATGGAAGGTGTTTTTCAAATTTTTGATTTTTGGAATTTTTTTGATATTTTTCTTGTCTTTCTCGGAATTTTTTTTCACGTTTCTGGGTTTTTTCGAGGAGATATCGTAAAGAAATTTCAGACTCATAGTCTGTGGATCCTTGTTTATAAGCTAACAATTTTTTCTGTTTGAAAAATGTTGTTTTTTTCGTATTTCTTGGTTATTTGAAAATATATAAAGAAATTTCAGACTCGTAAACTGTAGATAATTCTCTAGAAGTAAATAGAGTCACTTTTAATATATAAAAAAAAAAAATGAAAATGTTTTTCAAATTTTTGATTATTTAGAATTTTTTGATATTTTTCTTGTATTTCTCGGTTAGTTAAAGAGCTATCGTTACGAGATTTCAGACTTGTATTCTGTGGAGAATTCTCTATAAGCGAACAGTTTTTTGATTAAATAAAACCACTTTTAACATTTTCAAAAAAAAAAAAGTTTCGAAATTTTGATCCTGTATTTCTCGCCTAATTGAAGAGATATTGCATAAAGCATTTTAGATTCGTAATTTCCGGAGAACTCTACAAGCTAGCAACTTTTTCTGCTTGAAAGGAGCCACTTTTAACGTTTTTGAAAATTTTGGAATTTTTTTAAGCATCATTCGCTGGATTGAAGACATCCGCAAAAAGGATTTCAGTTTCGTCGTCTGTTGCATTATATATAAGTTACCACTTTTTACCTCTCAAATAAAATTATTTTGAAACTTTTTCCAAAATTTTTGTATTTTGGGTTTTTTTGAAGAGATATCGTAAAGAAATTTCAGACTCACACAGTCTGTGGATCCTTGTTTATAAGCCAACAATTTTTTCAGTTTGAAGACAGCTGATTTTAATGATCCCAAAAAAGTTGATTTTTTGGGGGAGTTTTTGACTTTTTCTCTTATTTCTTGATTATTTGAAGATATCTAAAGAAATTTCAGACTCATAAACTGTGGATAATTCTCGATAAGTAAATAAAGTCACTTTTAATATTAAACAACAAAAAATTGAAAGTGTTTTTCAAATTTTTGATTTTTTGGAATTTTGTGATATTTTTCTTGTATTTCTCGGTTAATTAAAGAGCTATCGTTAAGAGATTTCAGACTCGTATTCTGTGGATAATTGTCTAGAAACGAACATTTTTCTCTGTTTAAATAGAACCACTTTTAACATTTTCAAAAAAAAAAAAATTGAAAATTTTGCCCCTGTATTTGTCGCCTAATTCAAGAAATATTGCAAAACGCATTTTAGGTTCGTAATTTCCGGAGAACTCTTTACAAGCTAGCAACTTTTTCTGTTTGAAAAGAGCCACTTTTAACGTTTTCGAAAATTTTTTTTGAAAATTTTGGATTTTTTTCTAGCATCACTCGCTTGATTCAAGACATATCCGCAAAAAGGATTTCAGATTCGGCGTCTGTTGCATTATGTATAATAGATTACCTCCTTTTTCCTCTCAAATAGAGCCATTTTCAATGCTGAATTTTTTTTGAAAATTTTGAATTTTTTCTCACATTTTTCGGTTATTTGAAGAGATGTTAAGAAATTTCAGACGCGTAGTCTATGGATAATTTTTTTTAAGCCAACAATTTTTTGTGTAGAAATCGAGCCACTTTGAGTTTTCAAAAAAAAAATGGAAGTTTTGTCGCTTAATTGAAGAGATCTTGCAAGAAATATTTCATATTCATAATTTGCGGCTAGCAATTTTTTTATTCGAAAAAAAAGCTACTTTTAATATTTTCGAAAAATTTTAATTTTTTTTTTTGCATAATTCGCAAGATATCCGCAAAAAAGTTTGCAGATTCGTTGCCTGTTTGGAATTTCCTATAGGTTACCTTTTTTACTTCTTACATAAAGCTGTGCAAAAAATGTTTGACATTTTTACTTCCCGAGCGTAAGCAAAGGAAGTATTGTAATCGAGTCCGTCGGCCGACTCTCTACTTTTACGTTTTCTCGATCTTTCATGACCCCTCATGACGAAGAAATAGGTCTCCCATTTCCGTCTGTCTGTCCGTCTGTCCGTCTGTCTGTCCGTCTGCCCGTCTGTTGTCACGGATTTTTATTAGACAGATAATCTCCGAAAGTACTTGACCGATTGTTGTGAAATTTTGTACTTATATTAAGAATATCATGTAGATGGTAAAACGCTAACCAAAATTTGTCGAATCATCCCCACCACTAAAGCGATGACGTCACTTCAAAATTGTACATAGTAAATGGGTTTTCAATTGTATAAAATAACATAGTCCTACACATGTAGTTTACAACTCTGAATCGACTTTTCACCCGAAACGTCCAGATTTTTGGAAAAAAAATCAAAATTATAAAACAACATTTTGAAATTTAATTTTTAATCTGCTAACCAGAATGCTTTGAAATGTTGCAGATGTTTTAAGGCTATAAAGAGCATCATAAATCTTTAGTCAAAAAATATTTGCTTATCCCCTCCAAAAACTTGATGACGTCAGCTCAAAAGTTTGTGGAATAAATCATATCTAAAATGTACAAAATATGATGAGTCTGTACTTGTGAACTATCACTCCATTAATATTTTTTGGATTTGCATATACAGGGTGACTCAAAAAAATTAATAAATGCGTAAATATATTTTATTGATTTAATCAGGAACTACAAAACCGAATGCTCTGAAATCTTGCAGATGTTGTAAGATCATAGAGAGCATAATAAATGTTTAGTCAAAATATATTTGGTTATCTTCTACAAAAAACTGATGACGTCAGCTCAAAAGTTTGCCGAATAAATCGTATCTAAAATGTACAAAATATGATGAGTCTGTACTTGTGATTTATCATTCCATTCATATTTTTGGATTTGCATATGCAGGGTGACTCAAAAAAATTAATGAAGGCGTGAATTTATTTTATCGATTTAATCAGGAATTACAAAACCGAATGCTTTGAAATCTTGGGAATATTTTAAAGTTATTATCAGCATGGTAAACTTTTGTTCAAAATGTATTTGTTCATCCCTCCTAAAAAAATTGATGACGTCACCCTTAAATTTTGCTGAATAAATCCTATCTAAAATGCAAAAAATATGATGAGTTTGTACTTGTGATTTATCATTCCATTCATATTTTTTAGATTTTCTTAAGAGGTGGTTCAAAAAAATTAATGAACTCAATTTATTTTATTGATTAAATTAAAGGCAACACTTATTATTAGTATTACACCTCAACCAACCCAATTTGGTAGACACAAAATTTGTTAAAGGAAAAACTCGGTTGAAACATAAGGGTAGCACGCTTATTTACATCGACTTTAACATTACAGACCTGCATTTGTTTTATGCGTTCACTTGATTCCGCGAATGTGAAGTAGACATGTTTATAATCAACCAATTGTGAATTTCACCGTCAAGAATTAAAATAAAACCCAATGTTTTATATAATAAGCGGAAGTCGAAGCAATAAAACCGACGGTCGTTTTGTTTACAGTTTCTGTGTTTGGCTCTCACGTATGCTGTTACGCCTGTCATCTTAAATTAAGAATGTTTATACATACACGATTTTCAGTTGCCTCTGATACGTAGGTATACGTGAGTAAATTGTTTCGTTATTTTATTGATTATTACAAATCAATATTCAAACGACCCAATTCATTTTCCCGAAAATTTGAGAATATAATAATTTTATTCTTAGTATTACACTACATCTATCCCAACTGATATACGTGTCCTTGCAAAAATGTTGATGACGTCATCGCAATTTTTTTTTTAAATCCCCACTACAAAAATGTAATGAGAAAAAAAACACAATAGGCATGCAGTCGTCAAGTTTCCGACAGCGAGGGAAGTACTGTCTAAACTCTTTAGACCAATTTTTTTAAGATTTTTTTTGGGAAATTTCGTTTTTTTCCCCACATTTCTTGGTTATTTGAAAATATCTAAAGAAATTTTGGACTCGTAAACTGTGGATAATTCTCTATAAGCGAACATTTTTTTTTCTGTTTAAATAGAAACATTTAACGGTTTCAAAAAAGAATTTTTGGAAAATTTTTCTTCGCATTTGTCGTCTGATCGAAACGTTATTACAAAAAAAAAAAAAACATTTTGGATTCGTATAAGCTTAATAACAGCAATTTTTCTGCTTGAAAACAGCTGCTTTTAATGCTTCCAAAATTTTATAATTTTTTGGGGGAATTTTTGTTTTTTTTTTCCTCGGATTTTTTTGTTATTTGAAGATATATAAAGAAATTTCTGACTCGTAAACTGTGGGTAATTCTCTATACGTAAATGGAACCACTTTTAATATAAAAAAAAATAATAAATTTTTGATTTTTTAGATTTTTTTTTAATTTTTTTCTTGCATCTCTCGATTAGTTAAGAGACCTATCGTTAAGAGATTTCAGACTCCGAATCTGTGGATAAGCCAACATTTTTTCTGTTTAAATAGAACCACTTTTGAAATTAAAAAAAAAAAACAAATTAGAAATTTTGCCCTTCCATTTGTCGCCTAATTGAAGATATATTGCAATAAGCATTTTTGATTAGTAATTTATGGAAAATTCTTTATAAACTAGCAATTTTGTTTGTTTGAAAAGAGCTAGATTTAATGTTTTCGAACAAATTTTGGAAATTTTTGATTTTTTTTTTCGCATTTCTCAGTCATTTCAAAAGGTATTGTAAAGAGATTTCAGACTCGTAATCTGTGGATAATTGTCTATAAGCCAACATTTTTTCTGTTTAAATAGAACCACTTTTGAAATAAAAAAAATAGAAATTTTGCGCTTCCATTTGTCGCCTAATTGAAAATATATTGCAATAAGCATTTTTGATTAGTAATTTATGGAAAATTCTTTATAAACTAGCAATTTTGTCTGTTTGAAAAGAGCTAGATTTAATATTTTCGAACAAATTTTGGAAATTTTTGATTTTTTTTTCGCATTTCTCAGTCGCTTCAAAAGGTATTGTAAAGAGATTTCAGACTCGTAATCTGTGGATAATTGTCTATAAACCAACATTTTTTCTGTTTAAATAGAACCACTTTTGAAATTAAAAAAAAAACAAATTAGAAATTTTGCCCTTCCATTTGTCGCCTAATTGAAGATATATTGCAATAAGCATTTTTGATTAGTAATTTCTGGAAAATTCTTTATAAACTAGCAATTTTGTTTGTTTGAAAAGAGCTAGATTTAATGTTTTCGAACAAATTTTGGAAATTTTTGATTTTTTTTTTTTCGCATTTCTCAGTCATTTCAAAAGGTATTGTAAAGAGATTTCAGACTCGTAATCTGTGGATAATTGTGTATAAGCCAACATTTTTTCTGTTTAAATAGAACCACTTTTGAAATTAAAAAAAAAATAGAAATTTTGCCCTTCCATTTGTCGCCTAATTGAAAATATATTGCAATAAGCATTTTTGATTAGTAATTTATGGAAAATTCTTTATAAACTAGCAATTTTGTCTGTTTGAAAAGAGCTAGATTTAATATTTTCGAACAAATTTTGGAAATTTTTGATTTTTTTTTTTTCGCATTTCTCAGTCGCTTCAAAAGGTATTGTAAAGAGATTTCAGACTCGTAATCTGTGGATAATTGTCTATAAACCAACATTTTTTCTGTTTAAATAGAACCACTTTTGAAATTTAAAAAAAAAACAAATTAGAAATTTTGCCCTTCCATTTGTCGCCGAATTGAAGATATATTGCAATAAGCATTTTCGATTAGTAATTTATGGAAAATTCTTTATAAACTAGCAATTTTATCTGTTTGAACAAAGCTGATTTGAATGTTTTCGAAAAAATTTTCGATTTTTTGGAAATTTTTGATTTTTTGTTTCGCATTTCTCAGTTATTTCAAGAGGTATTGTAAAGAGATTTCAGACTCGTAATCTGTGGATAATTGTCCATAAGCCAACAATTTTGTCTGTTTAAATAAAACCATTCTTAACATTTTCAAAAAAAAAAACACCAATTTGGAAATTTTGCCTTATATTTGTCACCGAATTGAAGAGATATTGCAAAAAGCATTCTAGATTCGTAATTTCCAGAGAATTATTTAGAAGCTAGCAATTTTTTTTGTTCGAAGAGAGCCACTTTGACTTCTGAAAAAAAATTTCAATCTCGGTTATTTGAAGAGATATCGTAAAGAAATTTCAGACTTGTAGTCAAAAAAATGTTTGAAGTTACAAGTATCTTTTTATCGAAAATTCGACCACTTGGGAAAATTCTTTATAACTAGCAATTTTTTCTGTTTGAACAGAGCTACGTTTAATGCTAAAAAAAAAAAATGAAATTTTGGATTTCGTTTTCTAGCATTTCTAAAGGGATTTCAATGTCGTTATTTCACAGCAATGGCGCTTATTCCCGTACGTGTCCGCAGCAGCCGTATTCAAAATTTTCATTTCGGCCTTCACCAACGAATACCTGTCCATCGTCGAACGCTCCACAGCGGCCACCAAAATCGAGGACTTTGTAAGCCCCCCGACTGCTAAATTTCCCTCTTAATCACGCCTTGAATCAACAGACCGCCGTAGTCTCTGAGGTACACGCCATTGTGTCGAGCTCCAAGCCCCTCATGACGTGGACTTGCCGAGACGCCGTCCAGGAATGCCGAGAAGCCTGCGGCGGACACGGCTTCCTCAAATCGGCGCGATTCGGAGACATACGGGGGGCCGTAGACCCCACTGTCACCTACGAAGGGGACAATAACGTCTTGGGGCAACAAGCGAGCAATTGGTTGCTGCGCCAGTGGGAGAAAGTGCGCCATAGTGAGGAAGATCCGTGTTCTCCTTTAGGGACTTGCACGTTCCTGAAGGGGTACGAAGAGATACTTGGAAGGACGTTCGTGGGGACGGTGGTTCAAGACGTGCTTAGCTTAAGTTGTAAGTATCGTTATCTTTATTATTATTATTATTATTATTATTTTTGACGTGTCTGTAGTTATCCATACGTGCTATGAGTGGCTGATTACCTACATAGTTCAAGAAACGTACAACAAACAACAATCGTTGGTCAGTACGGGGAAATGTAGAACCGAGGCGCGGAACGAATCTCAGGTGTATTGGGCTTCGGTACTGACACGAATTTACGGCGAATACAACGCCTTCAAGTTCTACTGTAGCCAGTTGGCGACGACGCAAGGGTCAATGCACACTGTACTTGAACAATTAGGGATTCTATACGGCGTTTCCAACCTAGAAAAGCATTGTTCGTATTTCTACCAAGGGCGATTTGCCCGAACGCCCGAATTTTCGTTGTTACTTAAAGAAGGAGTGTTGCGAGCTTGTGCGGGGCTCAAAGACAACGTCGTGGCCATAGTCGACGCTCTGGCGCCCCCAGACTACGTAATAAATTCGGTTCTGGGAAAAACCGACGGGAAGGTATGTTGCGATTACACAGGTAGGACCCAAAGTCACTCTTTGTTTCAGCTATACGAGAATCTACAAGCTACGTTTTTACAAAACCCCAAAGCGCTGACTCGGCCGGAGTGGTGGCAAGAAATCGTGGTACCTGGGGCGCCTGACTTCAAAAAACCAAAGTGTAAATTATAAGAGCTTACTTATAAATGCGGAACGGGTGTTTAAAAAATACTTACAAGAAATGGGTATATACAGATGAAATTTATTGTATAAAATTATTTTTATATTCATTTAGGTACAAATGATTATCGATTTTTAAATAAAGTTACACAACTTGTTGAACATTAATCTAGGGTTTGTAGTGGGTTAGGAGCATCTCGTGGTAGAACTTCTGGCGGACTCGAGTGTCGTATCGGTACTGCTTTTCTTTTTCCGCGTTGGGGACGAAGTGGTTTTCGAAGAAGTGCGAAAAGTGGCGGCCGAGGTCTTTGTTTGACTCCAGGGAGCCGGGGTCGGAACTCGGTGATAACATATCTAGAAAAAGTTTTACTGTATTTTGGGTCTCGGTTCAACGTTCCACTGTAATATCTCACATTTTCGGTTTTTCGATGTTATAATTTTTAATTTGTTGCCTTTTCGATTTCTTTACTTTCCGGAAGAGTTTTCTATTTTTTCGGTATTCCCATTTATATTTTCAGTTATCGATTTTTCGAAAATATTGTTTACGCCACTGGTTTTTACTTTGTAATTGTTATCAAAAAACAAAAACAGCAGAAACAAATTTTATAATTTTTCAAAAGAGGGCGAAGTTCTGTCGAAATAACCTTTGGAAATTTTGCTCCCGTATTTGTCACCTAATTGGAGCAAAAAGCACTTTAGATTCGTATTTTCCGGAGAATTCTTTACAAGCTGGCAATTTTTTCCATTTAACGTTTTCGAATTTTTTTTTATTTTTTTCTCGCATCAAAGGTTACCTCTTTCTTTCTTCTCAAGTAGAGCCATTTTGGATGCCGAAAAATTGCTTTGAAAATTTTGGATTGTTTTTCACATTTCTTTGTTATTTGTTGAGATATCTAACAGAAATTTCAGACTCTTAAGTCTGTGGAAAATCGTTTATAAGCAAACAATGTTTTCTCTCTAAATAGTCACTTCTAACGTTTTCGAAAATAAATTTTTGGAAAATTTTCCTTCGCATTTGTCGTCTGATCGAAACGTTATTACAAAAAAAAAAACATTTTGGATTCGTATCAATATAAGCTTTATAAGAGCAATTTTTTCTGTTTGAAAACAGCTGCTTTTAATGCTTCCAAATTTTTTTAATCTTTTTGCGGAATTTTTGAGTTTTTTCTCGCATTTCTTGGTTATTTGAAGATATATAAAGAAATTTCAGACTCGTAAACTATAGATAATTCTCTATAAGTAAACAGAGCCAATTTAATATTAAAAAAAAAACATTTCAAAATGTTTTTAAATTTTTTATTTTTTTAGAGTATTTTTGACTTTTTTCTTGCATTCCTCGGTTAGTTAAAGAGCTTTCGTTAAGAGATTTAAGATTCTTAATCTGCGGATAATTAATTTTGCATAAGCGAACATTTTTTCTGTCTATATAAAACGATTTTTAACATTTTCAAAAAAATTTTTTGAAAATTTTGCCCCCGCATTTGTCACCTAATTGACGAGATTTCATATTCGTCGTCTGTTGCATTGTGTATAGGTTACCACTTTTTTCCTCTCAAATAGAGCCATTTCGAATTCCGAAAAATTTTTTTCAAAATTTTTTGATTTTTTTTCTCACATTTCGTAAAGAAATTTCAGGCTCATGGTCTGTGGATACTTGTTTATACGCCAAAAATTTTTCCTGTCTAAATAGAGCCACTTTTAACGTTCACAATTTGAAAACATTTTTTGAATTTTTTTTATTTTTGGGTGGATTTCTGTTTTTTTTTTCTCAGTTTTTTTTTTATATTTGAAGATATATAAAGAAATTTCAGACTCGTAAACTGTGGATAATTCTCTATACGTAAATAGAACCACTTTTAATATTAAAAAAATAATAATTTTTGATTTTTTAGAATTTTTTTCTTGCATTTCTCCATTAGTGAAGAGATTTCAGACTCCGAATCTGTGGATAATTCTCTATAAACAAAAATTTTTTCTGTTTAAATAGAACCACTTTTGAAATTAAAAAAAAAAAAAAACAATTTAGAAATTTTGCCCTTCGCCTAATTGAAGATGTATTTATTGCAATGAGCATTTTAGATTCGTAATTTATGGAAAATTCTTTATAAACTGGCAATTTTGTTTGTTTGAAAAGAGCTAATTTTAATGTTTTCGAAAAAATTTTGGAAAATTTTCGATTTTTTGGAAATTTTGTTTTTTTTTGCCATTTCTCAGTTATTTCAAGAGGTATTGTAAAAAGATTTCAGACTCGTAATCTGTGGATAATTGTCTATAATTTTTTCTGTTTAAATAAAACCATTCTTAACATTTTCAAAAAAAAAAAAAAAAGTTTGGAAATTTTGCTCTATATTTGTCGCCTAATTGAAGAGATATGGAAAAAAGCATTTCAGATTCTTAATTTCCGGAGAATTCTTTACAAGCGAGCAACTTTTTCTGTTCGAAAAGAGCCATTTTGACCGTTTTCAAAATTTTTTTTGAAAATTTTGAAACTTTCTCGCAATTCCAACTTTTAACATTTTCGAAAAAAAAATTGGGAATTTTGGGTCGTTTTTGACGCATAATTGAATAGATATTCGCAAAAATTATTTTGAAAATTTTGGATTTTTTTTCATCATTTTTGGAGAAAAAAAAAAAATCAAATAAATAAGCACACCGTTTCGAGGTCGTTTATCATGTGACAAAATTAAATTAAAAGGGATAAATGTCTTTTTAAACCGTGTTTTTTTACAAAGTAATTGTTTTCGTTAATTAGTTTGATTAAAAATGTATTTTTACCCCTAGAGTACGAAGAAATAGGTCTCCATCTGTCTGTCTGTCCGTCTGCTGCCGTCCCGGATTTTTATTAGACAGATAATCTCAGAAAGTACTGGGCCGATTGTTGTCAAATTTACTTATCCCCTCCAAAAAATTGATGATGTCAACTCAAAATTTTGCTGAATAACTTGTATCTAAAATGTCCATGTAAGATATAACTGATTTGGAAAATGATATACCCTCTAAGAAAATAAAGGGTGGGTGGGCGGGGTTAGTACTTCGTAAGATATGACTGCTTTGGAAAATGAGCCTATACTTGAAAGAAATTGATCTATTTCTGGTATAATAAAACCTGTTTAAATGTTTGATGAAAATGTTGGAGGCGCCAAGAGAGTAATTATTTTAAATTATGATTTTTTTTTCTTCAATTTTTCGATTTTACAATTTTTGGAATTTATTATTTTTCGATTATTTAATTTTTCGGTCTCAGATTTTTTCTATTTGTAGGTTTTTCTTTCCATTTTTGATTTAGCTTTTAAATTTTTGAAGTTCTCAATTTTTTAATGCTCCATTCCCAGATTCTAATTTTTAAGTTCTGAACAAAAAGATCAAGTTTATTAAAACTGAAATTTTCACAATTTTACAGTTTTGTTTTATTTAACTAATTAATTTAACTGTTTTCACTGCGTTCATATATATTGTGTTGACTGATCTTTGTTTGATAATAAAACCAATTTTTGAATTTTTTAGAATTCTTTAGTTGTCCGATTTTGCTTCCAACTTTTGTTAGATTTTACAAGTTTCGATTTGCAATTTTTCGAATTTGTTCTAAGTTTTCAAATTTTCTATTTATCAATTTTTGAATTTTTCAGTTTCATAATTACTTGGAATTTTAACTTTGGAATTAGAATCAGTCTTATCTTAGTCAAGTACTATCCCCGCCCACCCGCCCTCGATTTTCTTAGAAGGTATATTATTTTCCAAATCAGTCATATTGCTTATACAGGCTGACTCAAAAAATTAATAAATTAGTAAACTTATTTCATTGAATAAATCAATCCTTTGAACTCTTGCAGACGTCTTAAAGTTATTGTAAGCCTGGTAAATTGTTAGTCAAAACATATCTGTTTATTCCTCCCAAAAAATTGATGACGTCTTCTCAAAATTTTGCCGAATCAATCCTATCTAAATTTTTTTAGATTTGCTTAAACGGGTGGCTTAAAAAAATTAATGAATGCGTCATTTTTTTATTAATTAAATCAGGAACGGCTCACTACATTTTCCTAGAAAATTTTGGGAATACAATACTGTTATTTTTCAATTTCCACTAAATAATATAAGTCAATGAAATGAAGAAAGGAGGTGGGCGGGGCAAAATTTAGCTTTTTCTAGTTTTATGAGCACGCAGTAGCCCCGCCCACCCACCCCTTCTTCGTTCCAGTGACTACTAATACTGTTCAGTCCTATCTTAACAAGTTTTAGCCCCGCCCACCCACCTTTTTTTTTCTTTAGAAGATATAAGAAAAAAATCTTCCAGCAGGCTTTGAAATTTAATGTTAAAAAAATTATGTTGGCAACACCAAGCGTATCTTCTCCAGTTTGACAGTTACAGCTAAATAAATGTCAAATAGCTGCAATGCGAACATTTTTATTTTTAAAAGAAATTTTATGCCCTACATGGGACTCATTGAATTTGCGATTCTTGGAATTTTCGGTTTTTCGATTTTCGAATAAATTCGAATTTTCCATTTTTCAATTTTTTAATTTCGATTTTAGAATTCTGGGCTTTCCGCCTTTTCGATTTCTTTACTTCCAGGAACAATTATCTATTTTTTCCATTTTCGAATTCTCGATTTTTCGGTATTCCCAGTTTTACGCCACAGGTTTTACTGCTTTTTTTCTAGTTTCATTAGCAAGCAGTAGCCCCGCCCACCCACCCCTTCTGCGTTCCAGTGACTACTCCTAATACTATTCAGTCCTATCTTAGCAAGTTTTAGCCCCGCCCACCCACCCTTTTTTTCTTTAGAAGATACAAGAAAAAAAAATCGTCCAGCAGGCTTTGAAATGAAATGTTAAAAAAATTATGCGTTTCTTCTCCTGTTTTTACAGTTACAGCTAAATAACTATCAAAATGTCAAATAGCTGCAATGCGCAAATATTTTCATTTTTAAAATAAATTTCATTGCCTACATTCGGCTCATTGAATTTGCGATTCTAGGAATTTTTGGGTTTTCGACTTTCGATTTTCGAATTTTCAATTTTTTAACTTCGATTTTGGAATTTTGGGCTTTCCGCATTTTCGATTTCTTTACTTTCAGGAAGAGTTTTCTCTTTTTTTCATTTTCGAATTCTCAATTTTGCGGTATTCCCACTTTTTCGGAGAAATTATTTACACCACTGGTTTTACTGTTTTTTTTTCTAGTTTCATGGGCACGCAGTAGCCCCGCCCACCCACCCCTTCTTCGTTCCAGTGACTACTCCTAATACTGTTCAGTCCTATCTTAGCAAGTTTTAGCCCCGCCCACCCACCCTTTTTTTTTCTTTAGAAGATATAAGAAAAAAAATCGTCCAGCAGGGTTTGAAATGTAGTGTTAAAAAAATTATGTTGGCAACACCAAAGCGTTTCTTTTCCAGTTTGACAGTTACAGCTAAATAACTGTCAAAATGTCAAATAGCTGCAATGCAAACATTATTATTTTTCAAATAAATTTCATGGCCTACATTTGGCTCATTGAATTTCCGATTCTTGGAATTTTCGGTTTTTCGATTTTCGAATTTTCAATTTTTTAATTTCGATTTTAGAATTCTGGGCTTTCCGCCTTTTCGATTTCTTTACTTCCAGGAAGAGTTTTCTATTTTTTCCATTTTCGAATTCTCGATTTTTCGGTATTCCCACTTTTTCGAAGATATTATTTACGCCACTGGTTTTACTGTTTTTTTTTTTCTAGTTTCATGAGCACGCAGTAGCCCCGCCCACCCACCCCTTCTTCGTTCCAGTGACTACTCCTAATACTGTTCAGTCCTATTTTAGCAAGTTTTAGCCCCGCCCGCCCACCCTTTTTTTTTTTCTTAGAAGATATAAGAAAAAAAATCCGTCCAGCAGGCTTTGAAATTTAATGTTAAACAAAGTATGTTGGCAACACCAAGCGTTTCTTCTCCAGTTTGACAGTTACAGCTAAATAACTGTCAAATGTCAAATAGCTGCAATACAAACATTTTTATTTTCAAAATAAATTTCATGGCCTACATTTGGCTCATTGAATTTGCGATTCTTGGAATTTTCGGTTTTTCGATTTTCGAATAAATTCGAATTTTGCATTTTTCGATTTTCGAATTTTCAATTTTTTAAATTCGATTTTGGAATTTTAAAGCTTTTCGATTTCTTTACCTTTAGGAAGAGTTTTCTATTTTTTCCATTTTTGAATTGTCGATTTTTCGGTATTCCCACTTTTTTGGAGATATTATTTACGCCACTGGTTTCTCTGTCTTTTTTTCTAGTTTCATGAGCACGCAGTAGCCCCACCCACCCACCCCTTCTTCGTTCCAGTGACCACTCCTAATACTGTTCAGTCCTATCTTGGCAAGTTTTAGCCCCGCCCACCCACCCTTTTTTTTTTCTTAGAAGATATAAGAAAAAAATCGTCCAGCAGGCTTTAAAATTTAATGTTAAAAAAACTATGTCGGCAACACCAAGCGTTTCTTCTCCAGTTTGACAGTTACAGCTAAATAACTGTCAAAATGTCAAATAGCTGCAATGCAAACATTTTTATGTTTAAAATAAATTTCATGATCTACATGTGGCTCATTGAATTTGCGATTCTTGGAATTTTCGGTTTTTCGATTTTCGAATAAATTCGAATTTTCCATTTTTCGATTTTCGAATTTTCAATTTTTTAATTTCGATTTTCGAATTCTGGGCTTTCCGCCTTTTCGATTTCTTTGCTTCCAGGAAGAGTTTTCTATTTTTTCCATTTTCGAATTCTCGATTTTTCGGTATTCCCACTTTTTCGGAGATATTATGGTTTTAGTGTTTTTTTTTTCTAGTTTCATGAGCACGCAGTAGCCTCACCCACCCACCCCTTCTTCGTTCCAGTGACTACTCCTAACACTGTTCAGTCCTATCTTAGCAAATTTTAGCCCCGCCCACCCACCCTTTTTTTTCTTTACAAGATATAAGAAAAAAAATCGTCCAGCAGGCTTTGAAATGTAATTTAAAAAAAATTATATTGGCAACACCAAGCGTCTCTTCTCCAGTTTGACAGTTACAGCTAAATAACTGTCAAAATGTCAAACAGTTGCAATGCAAACATTATTATTTTTAAATAAATTTCATGGCCTACATTTGGCTCATTGAATTTGCGATTCTTGGAATTTTCGGTTTTTCGATTTTCGAATAAATTCGAATTTTGCATTTTTCATTTTCGAATTTTCAATTTTTAATTTCGATTTTCGAATTTTCAATTTTTTAATTTCGATTTTGGAATTTTAAAGCTTTTCGATTTCTTTACCTCTAGGAAGAGTTTTCTATTTTTTCCATTTTCGAATTCTCGATTTTTCGGTATTCCCACTTTTTCGGAGATATTATTTACGCCACTGGTTTTTACTTGTTATAAAAAAAAGGCAGAGACAAATTTTATAATTTTTCAAAGGAGAGCGAAGTTCTGTCCAAATAATCTTCTACCATTTTTTTTTTAAGCATAATTACATGACGTAGTGATGATAATAATAATTTCCGCATTTGTTACGTTTAACCGGATAAAAAAAAATATTTTTTTTACATATCAAAAAAATCGTCTAGCAAGCTCTAAAATCAAATGTTAAAAAATAATGTTGGCAACTGTGAAATAACTACAATACCAACATTATTTTTTTAATTTATATTACATATATCATATATTATTTTTCAAAATTTAAGCAAATTTCAAGGTCGACAACTTACCAGTGTAGTTAGCGGAGATCACAACCCTCGCAAAACTGTAGGGTCGCGGACGTTACAGTAAATAACACGTTTTGTTGTGCATCTGTGTTGTACTCGTCTATAATATTGTAAACAAAAGAAAATGTAACTAAATAGTATGTTATATAACAGAAAACACAGAATTTATATTGCTTTTACTCTCATGTTTCAACACTGCTGCTGTACATAGCAAGGACTTTAGAGCCGTTTGCATTGAGGGCTTAATGCTGATTGTTGTTGACATTAAATGCCAAATGAAAAAGTGACAAGCTGACAAGTTATTAGAAAAACATTCTGATTCAGAATCAGAATCGAGAGAAATTATGATTGGGGGTATGTCTTCATATGGTGCATTACCCATTAAACGCTTCCAATCATCCCTGATCAGCCGTTCACAATGTAATAAAATTTTGCCATTTGTCTGCACCTACTGTAGCAAGAGCCTCCCGCCATAAGGACTGTACAACACCAATAGCACCACCGTGTTCCCGAATATGTTTATTGTAATATAGTTTACACTGTCTCCACGCCAGTTCAATTGGATTATACTGACAGTGGTAGGAATATTGAAAAATAGGTGGATAATTCCTCTTGCTCTTGTCACTGCCATACCATTTATCCTGGGCATATTTATAAATCTGTTCCTTTAGGATCTCTGCTGGGTGCTTTTAAGTTGTTCTTCTAACTTCCCCACTCCGTAAGAACATAATCTATCATAAATATTGCGATAGAACGCGCTCATAGAAACGATTCAAAATTAATGCGGTTCTTGACGTCTCAAGTGACAGATCAGTCACTATTGCATTGTCGATAAAGTAAAATAAGGAGGTGTAAAAAAATACTAAATTACACAGTTAAGAGTAAATTTTTGGGTTTTGTGTGTCCTTGACCTTCACGCCCATTTTGAAAAATAATATATATCTATATTTTTCATGGCCTACTAGACAACTTAAAATTTTTGTGTTGGCAATTCTAAATTATTGGCATCCATGTCATTTTGACAATCAGGTATGCCACCATAAAATTTTAACTAAGTTGCCAACTCGACAAAAAATTCGGTATTTAAATTTTTAAGACTGAATTAAAACCAAAAAAAGGTACCTTGCTCTGCGTATCGATAGGACCCATCTTCCACCAGAACATTGTAGATGACCTGCCTCTGCCCCGCCCCCGCGCCCCTCGGCCATTGCCGCGACTCCTGGCACTCCGACGCCGCCGGACACCCGGCGCTCCACCCAAAAATCACACACTTATCATTTTGCGTGATATCCGTCATCACCATCCCCACGGCGTACTTGACCTCCGGCGGTCGCTCCACCACCGGGTCATCCGTGTGGAGATCGAGCTCGTCCTCGAGATCCTGCTTCGAGAACCCCCGCAGCGTCTCCAGAATGCCCTCGACTGGCCCCGGCGTTTCGAATTTCTGCAACCCGGGGGTTACCAGTGTCTTACGCAAACCCAAGACCTACCAGCGCCACGACGTAGTCCTCCAACGGCTGCGTGTTGACTTTGTGCAAATTATACAGTTTCGCGAGACTCAAAATCGCGGATAGGTCCTGCGGACTGACGAGCACGAGCAGTTCGAGGATCGCCCTCAGGAAAGTCGCCCTTCCGTTGGGTTCAATGTGTTGTCTGGTTGACAGCTCGAGGTTGTTCACCATACGCTCGACGACTTGGATGGCCGTAGCGACGGGGAGGAGTGCTCGGCGGGACGTGGGGTTGCTGTAGGGGCACGCGAGTTTCTGGACGACGTCGCCGCCGTTGAAAGTGTCGATGTAGTATACAGTGGGGTTAATTCCGACGCTTTCGGTGAATCTGAGGAGAAAATGAGCGGGGAAATTGATGGGTTCGAAGAGGACCCCCAAACGACGACCTACGCTTTCGTATATGATTGCTAACAAAATAGGGAGTCCGGTTCGTCGTTCTAGAACCTAGTTGAAAGTTAGTAATTCAGGTGGATTGTAACAACGTTACTTTATTGATGAGGGAATTTTCAGACATGAAGTAGTTGTAGCTGTTTCCGCAAAAACCCAGCTCTGTGTAGATGACTCCACGCATCGCGACGATGATTTGGCGGCATTCAGCGATGCTCCATTGGGACTGGTCTAAATTTTCGTGTTTCCAAGCATCCAATTGACTTTGTGGGGCTTTTAGAAGTTGGTGCACTGGGTTTAAGTCGGTCACTCTTTGTTTGACCAAGTTTGCGATAAAATCAAGGTCAGTTTGGACATTTTCTTGCGTTATATCGAGGTCTGTTTGGCACCACTGTGCCACAAAAATGGCCCCTTTTTCCAGAGTTTGTTGTTTTAAAGGAAGGAGGATGTATTGTTGCCACACTGCCGCCAAGTGTTGTTGTTTTATGAAACGTAGCGCTTTACTGGCGTAGTATTGGAGGGTTTTGTTTCCTGGAGTACTGTCACATCATTATACATGTAACACAAAAAAACTATTTTATGTTCTACTTACTTAAGAGGTACTGTTTCAATACTCTTTATGCACTCAGAAGTATTTATAATGTCCATGAGGATCATTATCAGGTAGTGATACGTCTGCTCTTTTTCTTTTACAAGATCAGACCACTGTTCGAAATCCGTTTCTGATAACTGATACCTTTTATAGAACCGTTGGGGCATTTGTTCTAGAAGACGCAAAACTCTGTTTTTTAAATTGTAGATGTACTGAACTTCGTCAAAAAAGTTGCTGTAACAATTATCAAACAACGGGACGAATCGCGGCCACCTGAAACCCCGATTTAGTCAAACACAAAACCAAACTCTAGCCATACTTATGGCGGAACTTTTGCTTCCAAATCGCCGAACTATTTAAAACTAACTGGCGGAAGAATTTGCACGAAGCTGAGAAGTTGCAAACATCTTGAATTGTTATGTTTTCGTGGCTCAAGATTTTTTCTATTAACTCCACGGGTATTTGATCCATTTCAAATTTAGTGCCACCACATTGACCTACAATTTTCGGGTAGTAGTGGACGGGATTACGTCGATGTGTACGTACTCACATCAAGTAACTAATATAAAAGTTGATTTTCGAGATTCGTTGTTCTTAAATCGGCGAAATTACACAAAATTGAACACAATCCGCAACAATCACAAAATTACTACGCACATTGACAGATGACAGAAAATCAACAACATGGATTTTGATTGGTCAATGCTGGTGTGTCTGACGTCAGAATGAGTTTTCAACCAATCAAATAACGGTGGTGTGCAGCGCGGCCAACATGAAAGAAAATCCCCTGAAGTAACATTTTTCTGGTTGACAGCACTAATTCCACGAAAATCAAATTTTAATGCAAATGAGGTCCGCTAATATTAAGCCGTTTAATCACCAGTTCACCTATGCATTGTTAAAATAGTTCGGGAAATTTAAATCAACAAGATTTCTTGCTATTCGTATCAAAAACAGATTAGGTATTATAACTACAAGGGCTTACATTTTGCCCTTTTTTCTTAATATGTGTGGTCTTCTTTTCATAACAAGAAAGGTAAAACAAGTTTAAAATGGTAAATTTTTGTATGAAAGTATCGATTTTGCAATTACGCTCCGCCCCTCGGTCTGACAACGAATGAAAAATTAATCGAGACGAGTGGGTAGGGCTTATCTTTTGGTTTTCTTTTTTAATTAATACATATAGTTTTGACCCGTTTTCATTTCTGCGATAACTCCAATGGTTTTTCTAGAATCGTCCTTTGAACAGTACAATTTTATGCAAAATACGACGAATTTTCGACCAACTTTCAACAAAATTTTCGAAATTTCACTTAATACATTTTCTTGTAGATTTCTGCCCGCAGAAGTCATATCCGCTTTCATTTCTTCGATAACTCCAACGGTTTTTCCAGAATCGTCCTTTGAACAGTACAAATTTATGCAAAATACGACCAATTTGAAACCAATTTTCAACAAAATTTTCGAAATTTCACTTAATAAATTTTGTTGTACATTTCGGGCCGTAGAAGTCACTCCCGCTTTCATTACTTCGATAACTCCAATGGTTTTTCCAGAATCGACCTTTGAGCTCTGTATCCCTGAATTTAAAGATGACTTTTTCAAAAATTAAATTGCCCATTATGTATTCGTATTAAGTACCTCCCTTATGCAAATTTCAACCCATTCTCGACATGCAGAAGTCACTTCTGGCTTCATTTCTTCGATAACTTAAACTGTTTTTCCAGAATCGTCCATTGAAATATCGCAATTTTTAAAAATTTCAAAAATTTCGAATTTCATACCGAATTTTTCGAAAATATTGCTCCGTTTCCATAAACATGCTATATTTTTGGAATCAGCACGTCGGGATGTATATATATATCTGAATTTTTTCATAATTTTTGGACAACTTTTTCAAAAATGAAATTTTACACAATGGTAGTACTTGTCGAATAACCTACCCTCAAAGAAAATAAAAGGCGAGTGGGCTCGTCTAATATTTGTCAAAATAAGACTCATTATGACAAATGACCTACTCTTCTAAGAAAAGGTAGTAGTCCCGCCCACCCAACCTTTATTTTCTTAAAAGAGTAGGTCATCTGCCAAAATCAGTCTTATCTTGACAAGTACTAGCCCCGCCCACCCACCCTTATTTTCTTAGAAGAGTGGGTCATCTGCCAAAATCAGTCTTATCTTGACAAGTACTAGCCCCGCCCACCCACCCTTATTTTCTTAGAAAAGTGGGTCCTCTGCCAAAATCACTCTTATCTTGGCAAGTATGAGACTGATTTTTGCAAATGGCAGATCCTCTAAGAAAATAAGGTGGGTGGGCGGGGCTAGTACTTGTCAACATGAGACTGATTTTGGGCAGATGACCCACTCTTCTAAGAAAATAAAGGGTGGGTGGGCAGGGCTAGTACTTGTCAAGATGAAACTGATTTTGGCAAATGACATATCCTCTAAGAAAATAAGGGAGGGTGGGCGGGGGCTAATACTTGCCAAGCTAAGACTGATTTTGGCAGAGTACAACTGTATAATTGGAAAATCAAGTTTAACAGAAATATCGAAAAATAGAAAAAAAAACAAATCTTATAAAATTGAAATCGAAATTCCAGTTTTCATTGTTTTTTAGTTTTTAGATTTTTCAACTTTTAAATATTTCATTTGATAATTTGTTTGACAATTTTGCAGTTTTTAATTCCAATCTCTTGATTTTTCAAGTTTTAACTTTACAATTTTTTCCTCTAAGAAAATAAGGGAGGGTGGGCGGGGGGCTAGTATTTGCCAAGATGAGACTCACTTTGACCAATGACCTATTTTTCTATCAGAGTGGGTCATCTGCCAAAATTAGTCTTATTTTAACAAGTACTAGCCCCGCCCACCCACCCGTATTTTTTTAGAAGATATGTCATCTGCCAAAATCAGAATTTTCCAAAATTAATGTTTTCGAGTTCAGTCCGGATTGCAGAGTTTTTGTTCGGATTAAAGAGATATCGACTTCAACTAGCCTCTTTTCGGATTACTGGATGTTCGGATAATCGTGGGTTCGGATTATAGAGGTTATACTGTACGACCAATTTGCGACCAATTTTCAACAAAATTTTCGAAATTTCACTTAATACATTTTCTTGTAGATTTCGGGCCGTAGAAGTCACTCCCGCTTTCATTACTTCGATAACTCCAATGGTTTTTCCAGAATCGTCCTTTGAACAGTACAATTTTATGCAAAATAGGACCTATTTTCGACCAATTTTCAACGAAATTTTCGAAATTTCACTTAATACATTTTCTTCTAGATTTCGGGCCGTAGAAGTCACTCTCGCTTTCGTTTCTTTGATTACTCCAATAGTTTTTCCAGAATCGTCCTTTGAACAGTAAAAATCTATGCAAAATTCGACTAATTTGCGAACAATTTTCAACAAAATTTTCGAAATTTCACTTAATACATTTTCTTGTAGATTTCGGACCGTAGAAATTACTCCCGCTTTCGTTTCTTCGATAACTCCAATGGTTTTTCCAGAATCGTCCTTTGAACAATACAAATCTATGCAAAATACCACCAATTTGCGACCAATTTTCAACGAAATTTTCGAAATTTCACTTAGTACATTTTCTTGTAGATTTCGGGCCGTAGAAGTCACTCCCGCTTTCGTTTCTTCGATAATTCCAATGGTTTTTCCAGAATCGTCCTTTGAACAGTACAAATCTATGCAAAATACAACAAATTTGCGACCAATTTTCAACGAAATTTTCGTAATTTCACTTAATACATTTTCTTGTAGATTTCGGGCCGTAGAAGTCACTCCCGCTTTCATTTCTTCGATAACTCTAATGGTTTTTCCAGAATCGTCCTTTGAACAGTACAAATCTATGCAAAATACGACAAATTTGTGACCAATTTTCAATAAAATTTTCGAAATTTCACTTTATACATTTTCTTGTAGTTTTCGGACCGTAAAAGTCACTCCCGCTTTCAGTTCTTCGATAACTCCAATGGTTTTTCCAGAATCGTCCTTCGAACAGTACAAATCTATGCAAAATACGACAAATTTGCGACCAATTTTCAACAAAATTTTCGAAATTTCACTTAATGCATTTTTTTGTAGATTTCAGGCCGTAGAAGTCACTCCCGCTTTTATTTCTTCGATAACTCCAATGGTTTTTCCAGAATCGTCCTTTGAACAGTACAAATCTATGCAAAATACGACCAATTTGGGACCAATTTTCACAAAATTTTCGAAAATTCAGTTCATACATTTTCTTGTAGATTTCGGGCCGTAGAAGTCACTCCCGCTTTCATTTCTTCGATAACTCCAATGGTTTTTCCAGAATCGTCCTTCGAACAGTACAAATCTATGCAAAATACGACAAATTTGCGACCAATTTTCAACAAAATTTTCGAAATTTCACTTAATACATTTTTTTGTAGATTTCAGGCCGTAGAAGTCACTCCCGCTTTCATTTCTTCGATAACTCCAATGGTTTTTCCAGAATCGTACTTTGAACAGTACAAATCTATGCAAAATACGACCAATTTGGGATCAATTTTCAACAAAATTTTCGAAAATTCAGTTCATACATTTTCTTGTAGATTTCGGGCCGTAGAAGTCACTCCCGCTTTCATTTCTTCGATAACTCCAATGGTTTTTCCAGAATCGTCCTTCGAACAGTACAAATCTATGCAAAATACGACAAATTTGCGACCAATTTTCAACAAAATTTTCGAAATTTCACTTAATACATTTTTTTGTAGATTTCAGGCCGTAGAAGTCACTCCCGCTTTATTTCTTCCATAACTCCAATGGTTTTTCCAGAATCGTACTTTGAACAGTACAAATCTATGCAAAATACGACCAATTTGGGACCAATTTTCCGCAAAATTTTCGAAAATTCAGTTCATACATTTTCTTGTAGATTTCGGGCCGTAGAAGTCACTTCCGCTTTCGTTTCTTCGATAACTCCAATGGTTTTCCCAGAATCGAGCTTTGAAAAGTACAAATCTATACAAAGTACGACCAATTTTCAACGAAATTTTCGAAATTTCAATTAATACATTTTCTTGTAGATTTCGGGCCGTAGAAGTCACTCCCGCTTTTATTTCTTCGATAACTCCAATGGTTTTTCCAGAATCGTCCTTTGAACAGTACAAATCTATACAAATTTGCGACCAATTTTCAACAAAATTTTCGAAATTTCACTTAATACATTTTCTTGTAGATTTCGGGCCGTAGAAGTCACTCCCGCTTTCATTACTTCGATAACTACAATGGTTTTTCCAGAATCGACCTTTGAACAGTACAAATCTATTCAAAATACGACCAACTTGGGACCAATTTTCAACAAAATTTTCGAAAATTCAGTTCATACATTTTCTTGTAGATTTCGGGCCGTAGAAGTCACTCCCACTTTCATTTCTTCGATAACTACAATGGTTTTTCCAGAATCGTCCTTCGAACAGTACAAATCTATGCAAAATACGACCAATTTGGGACCAATTTTCAACAAAATTTTCGAAATTTCACTTAATACATTTTCTTGTAGATTTCGGGCCGTAGAAGTCACTCTCGCTTTTATATCTTCGATAACTCCAATGGTTTTTCCAGAATAGTCCTTTGAACCGTACAAATCAATGCAAAATTCGACCAATTTGGGACCAATTTTCAACAAAATTTTCGAAATTTCAGTTCATACATTTTCTTGTAGATTTAGGGCCGTAGAAGTCACTCCCACCTTCATTTCTTCGATAAATCCAATGGTTTTTCCAGAATCGTCCTTTGAACAGTACAAATCTATACAAATTTGCGACCAATTTTCAACAAAATTTTGGAAATTTCAGTTCATACATTTTCTTGTAGATTTCAGGCCGTAGAAGTCACTCCCGCTTTCGTTTCTTCGATAACTCCAATGGTTTTTCCAGAATTGCCCTTTGAAGAGTACAAATCTATGCAAAATACGACCAATTTGCGACCAATTTTCAACAAAATTTTCGAAATTTCACTTAATACATTTTCTTGTAGATTTCGGGCCGTAGAAATCACTCCCGCTTTCATTTCTTCGATAACTCCAATGGTTTTTCCAGAATAGTCCTTTGAACCGTACAAATCAATGCAAAATTCGACCAATTTGGGACCAATTTTCAACAAAATTTTCGAAATTTCAGTTCATACATTTTCTTGTAGATTTCGGGCCGCAGAAGTCACTCCCGACTTCATTTCTTCGATAAATCCAATGGTTTTTCCAGAATCGTCCTTTGAACAGTACAAATCTATACAAATTTGCGACCAATTTTCAACAAAATTTTCGAAATTTCAGTTCATACATTTTCTTGTAGATTTCAGGCCGTAGAAGTCAGTCCCGCTTTCGTTTCTTCGATAACTCCAATGGTTTTTCCAGAATTGTCCTTTGAAGAGTACAAATCTATGCAAAATACGACCAATTTGCGACCAATTTTCAACAAAATTTTCGAAATTTCACTTAATACATTTTCTTGTACATTTCGGGCCGTAGAAGTCACTCCCGCTTTCATTACTTCGATAACTCCAATGGTTTTTCCAAAATCGTCCTTTGAACAGTACAAATCTATGCAAAATACGACCAATTTGGGACCAGTTTCCAACAAAATTTTCGAAATTTCATTTAATACATTTTCTTGTAGATTTCGGGCCGTTGAAATCACTCCTGCTTTCTTTACTTCGATAACTCCAACGGTTTTTCCAGAATCGTCCTTTGAACAGTACAATTTTATGCAAAATACGACCTATTTTCGACCAATTTTCACCGAAATTTTCGAAATTTCACTTAATACATTTTCTTGTAGATTTCGGGCCGTAGAAGTCACTCCCGCTTTCATTTCTTCGATTACTCCAATGGTTTTTCCAGACTCGTCCTTTGAACAGTACAAATCTATGCAAAATACGACAAATTTGCGACCAATTTTCAATGAAATTTTCGAAATTTCACTTAATACATTTTTTTGTAGATTTCGGGCCGTAGAAGTCACTCCCGCTTTCATTTTTTCCACAACTCCAATGGTTTTTCCAGAATCGTCCTTTGAACAGTACAAATCTATGCAAATTACGACCAATTTGCGACCAATTTTCAACAAAATTTTCGAAATTTCACTTAATACATTTTCTAGTAGATTTCGGGCCGTAGAAGTCACTCCCGCTTTCATTACTTCGATAACTCCAATGGTTTTTCCTGAATCGTCCTTTGAACAGTACAAATCTATGCAAAATACGACAAATTTGCGACCAATTTTCATTTTAATTTAATAAGAGAAATAAGAATTTTGCAGTTAAGCTCCGCCCGTTTGGCTCACGACGAATAAAAAAATCGTCACAATTGAGATAGGGTGGGTGGGCGGGGCTCCATTTTGCCTTTTTTTCTTAGTATGTGTAGACTTATGTCAACTTACAATAGGGTGACAAATACGTAAAATACAAAGCCGTAAAAAAAAACAAAAAGTCCTCGAAATTTATTAATAAGTTGAAAATTGTAACAATTTCACATTAACAATTTCAATGCTTGTAATCCGATGCGCTTTTTCCCAATATCCACATTAATAACTTTAACTTCCACTTTGTGCCCTATTTGCAAATTCAACCCGTTACACTTACTCACATGAATCAACCCATTAGTGCCCACCCCTATATCAACGAAGCACCCGAAATGCGTAACATTGTTCACCACCCCTGTCAACACGCTCCCACTCGCCAAATCACCGATACTAGTCAACCCCTTCTTAAAAACGGGCTCCTTTGGACAGTCATTTCTGAAATCGTAATTCAGTGGTTTAGACAGCGCATCCAAAATTAACTGCACCGTGTCATCATTAGAACTAAACTCGGCGCTTAACTCCGACACTTTTAATAGTTTGTCTTTAATAACTGAAATGAAATTCGTTTCGCCTACGTCACCCAACTTAAGACCCACTTTTTTAATTATGTTAATAGCAGTGTCATATGACTCTGGATGCACGTTTGTACAATCCAGTTTCGTGGATTTGGGGTTTTTGTAAAAAGTAGTTGCGTCTTCAGTCGTGAGAGGTCCCACTCGCAGAAAACCGGCGCACTGAAGAAACACCTTTTCGCCGATCCCGAACACGTCTAGGAGTTGTTTTCGGGAGGTGAAAGGGCCGTTTTTGCTTCGGTGGTCGATAATTTGTTGGGCTTTTTTCTCTGATAATCCAGCTACGTGTCTAAAAATCTTGATAAGTGAGAGTTCTACGCGTTTTGGTTTTTTAATACCTGAGAAGGCACTGTGAAGCCGTGTTTAAATCCACACCCACGAAACTGACGCACTCTGACACTACGTCATCTAAGGCTTCGTCCAGTTGTTTCTTTTTGACGTCGTGCTGGTACATGCCGATGCCGAGATGCTTAGGCTCGATTTTGATTAATTCGGATAGGGGTTCCTGGACACGTCTGGCTAATGATACTACAGAAAAAAAAAGTAGTGTGTTGAGAGACAAAGACAAAATGGGAGTTTTAACCAGCGCTAATTATATTGGGGTCCAAAGTAGGGAACTCTTTTTTAGCTTCAGGGCTACAAGAATAAATTGACGCTCCTTCTTCACGTACAACGGTATACTTAATATCAAGTGGGGAAAATACTCTTGATTCTATTAAATTGGTTAACCATTCTTCAGTCTGACGACACGCGGTACCATTACCAAGCGCTATTAATTCGCAGCTGTCAAATAAAAACGTGACGTCATCAGTTTTTTGGAGGGGACACTTAATTATATACCTACTTGTACTTCAGTAACATATTTTTTAGCATTGTAATGTCTTTTTCACTATTTTGGTTGTTACTTCTGTGTTTGTGGGGATATATGACCCCACTAGTGACCAAAGTTCCCACGTGTGAAATAAGTGCCAATTTACAACCATTGGAATACCCAGGGTCAATTCCTAAAATAGCTTTTCCCTTTAAAGGGGTCGCTAACAAGAGATGTTTCAGATTTGTGCTAAAAACATCACAGGAAGCTCTCTCAGCCTTTTGTTTTAACTCAGATCTAACCTCGCGTTTGACGAGTGGTTCAACTATAAAAAAAAACTTGATTGTAGTATGTGCTAAATTTTAAAAACTGGCCATACCTAAACGACTGTAGGCATCTTCAATGGCTTGTTTCATAATGTTTTCTCTTTGTGGCGACTTTTCACCTTTATTCACCCATTTATTAAAGCACAAAGTGCGAAATTTGTGACTTAGCGACTCTGGAACTACCACTTTGACCGACAATACTTTCAAATTCTCGCCTCGATTAATTGCGAGTACCTACGAAATTACGTAATTTTTTTAAAATTGATTTTTATATAAATAACAACCTGATGAGGTTTAATATATTTTACAGAAATTTCAAAATCCAAGTAATTTTCAAACTTAAATTCATTGCTTTCTTTATTTTCGGCCGCGTTTTTAGTGCTCTTTGTGACAGCTTTTTTGGTTTTAATAGCAAAATTCGTGTTCTTGCGCAGTTCTCTCAGTGCAGACAATATTTCTGTGTCTGTAGCCATCACTGACGCGATTATATGAACAATTCCTTTTTCCACCGCGGACACGTCTTTCAGTTCATCTTTATTTTCCAAAATGAAGTCATATAAATTAACTTTGCCTGTGTTATTTAAAATGGTTAAAGCTGGCTCTTCTAACCCTAATTCTTTGGCTCTTTCGGCTAACGTACGTTTACCTCCTGTTTTATAAGGCGCGTACTAAAAGTTTGTTACAAAATTTACAATTGCAGTTGTTGTAATTACAAAAATACTTACGACGTATTCTAGTTCTTCTATGGTTCGTGAACAAGTGACGGCTCGTTTCAGCTGTTCTGTTAGTGCTGCAGACTTTTCTAGATTTTTGATAACAGTTGTCATTTTGTTTTTCAGGGTGAGGATCTCCTCGTAAGTTTCTTTGGTTGCGCGTAATTCCTCTGCTGTCATGTTGTTAGTGGCGTTTCGCCTGTATCTAGCAATAAACGGAATCGTGTTTCCTTCTTCAAATAATTCGATAACGTTTTTGGCAACGTTTAACTGGAGGCTGTATTGTTCAGCCAGTAGTTCATATTCAGTCCACTGAGGATCGCAAACAGTTTTGACGGATTCTTTCGTTTTAGCTTTTTTTATTTTTGTATCTTCTTCATTTTTAACTTTTACTTTCTTGGTAGTTGCGCTGGCGGTGCTACATGAAGGGACTTCGTCTTTGATTTCGAGTTTCGCACGCTTTGTTCGTGCTTTCAAAGGTTGAGTTTTTTTTCTTTTCTATTATATAACAGTGGTGAGATTTTTGGAAAAGAAGGTGGATAGCGAAACTTACCAAGTTAGGTGATTTTAAGCTACTCATGTTGTAATAATTTCTTCTGTTTGCTGCTGCTGTGTAGTTTGAAGTGGCAACTCTTATTCAAATATGAATTTTCAGATAAAATCACGTTTGACTGTTTAAATTCAAAAAACCGTCTCTAAACAAGGTACTTTAACGAATTTAAATTTGAGATTTATTTGAAATTTGAATCAGTTTGTAGAACTGAAAATTATACAAATAAATTGATTAGTCGTTATTTTATTTTAATAATAAAAATGACTGCTTTTTCTCACACCAAATTAAAACCGTTTAAATCCGACCCACATCACTCTTGCACTGAATATCGTTGGTTATAAAATCACAAACATAACCTGCTTTGTGGTCTCAAAGTTTCTGGAAAGTAGACAACCACACGTGAGATATATTGGTCAATTAAAAAATGCATTGTAAAAAAATTGTTTGTTAAGGAAAAAAGTTCTCCAATAAGCCATAAAATTTATTTTTAAAATAATGATGAGTGTCAAAGAAAGTGTCAAAAAAGATGTCATACCAACGTAACTCACAAAGTCCCTAGATGTGGAGGCCACTAATTTCATTTTTCATTTAGTAAATGAAAATCTCATTTCTAAGAAAGTTGTGTAAAAATTGTCGAAAAATGCACTGATATGGATGTCATGTTGTAGATCTCGACGTGCTGATTCCAAAAATATAGCGTGTTTATGGCAAAAGAGCAACATTTTTGAAATATTCGTCGCGAAATGCGAAATTTTTTTAATTTTTAAAAATGTGGACGTTTCAACGGGCGATTCTGGAAAAACGGTTGGAGTAATCGAAGAATCGAGGCCCAAAGTGTCTTCTGCGTCTTGAAATCTACGAGAAAATGTATTTAGTTGAATTTCGAAAATGGTCGAAAATTGGTTGAAATTGGCAAAAAAAAAATCCTTATTTTTCTATGAGAAATTAAAAACATGTTTTTGAGTATCGTGTTATCCAAAGAAAACATATGTATATTAGGAATAAATTAAAGCCAAAAATTAAGCCCCACCCATACCTGCCCTGATCTAAATAGTAATGAAATTTTCATTCTTTGGCAGACCTAGGGGTGGAGCTTAATTGCAAAATCCAGATTTCGTTACAAAAATTTGACATTTTGAACGTGTTTTAAATTTCCAAGTATAAAAAATCGTCACAATTGAGATGGGGTGGGTGGGCGGGGTTTATATTTTGCCTTTTCTTCTTAATATACATAGTATTCTTTGAACACGATACGCAAAAACATGTTTTTAATTTCTTGTAGAGAAATAAGTATTTTGCAGTTAAGCTCCGCCCCCTTGGTTCACGGCGAATTAAAAAAGTCATCACAATTGAGATAGGGTGGGTGGGCGGTCTGCCATTTTGCCTTTTTGTTTTTAAATGTGTAGACTTCTTTTTACAACATAAAACTTAATACATGTTTAAAATGGAAAATTTGTATAAGGAAATAGCAATATTGCAACTAGGCACCGCCCCATAATTGCAAAATCCATGTTTCCTTGCAAAAATGTACCATTTTAACCATGTTTTAAGCTTTTTGTTGTGAAAAGATGACTATACATTTTAAGAAAACGAGGCAAAATATAAGCCCCGCCCACCCACCCTATCGCGTTTGTGATGATTTTTTTATTCGTCGTGAGCCAGGAGGGCGGAGCTTAACTGCAAAATTCTTGTGTCACGAGAAATTAAAAACACGTTTTTGAGTATCGTGTTATTTCGTGTTTCGATTTCTCAATTTTCGATTTTTCAACTTCTCCAGGTTTCGATTTCTCGATGTTTCAGTTTTTCAATTGAAGAATTCATAAACTGAAAAATCCCAAAACTGAGAAATCGAAAACTCGAAAAACTGAGAATTCTAAAAATTGAAAAACTGAAAAATAAAAAATTTTTTATTTCAAATATTTGAAAAAAACGGAAATATCGGGGAGCTTAAAATTCGAAGGATAAAAAAATTGAAAAATCCAATCTCTAAAATTTAAACCAACGGAAAATTGAAGAATCGAAAAACTAAATCAAAAAATTTAAAAATTTCAAAACAGAAATGAAAAATTGGGAAATCGAAACAGTGATTTTTTATCAATTTTTTGATATTTCAGAATTTTGGATTTTTCAAATTCTTTATTTATCGAGATTTCGGTTATTTCGATTTTTCAATTGTTCAATTTCTCAATTTATCAATTTTTTATTTTAAATTTCTCATTTTTTTCTGTTATTCAAAAGAATACTACGTAAATTAAGAAAAAAATTAATCAAAGATTAAGCCCCACCCATACCTGTCCTGATCTAAATAGTAACAAAATTTTCATTCGTTGGCAGACCTAAGGGCGGGGCTTAATTGTAAAATCCTTATTTTTCTACGAGAAATGACCATTTTAAACATGTTTTAAGTTTCTTGTTAATAATAATAATAATAATAATAATAATAAACTTTATTGCCCAACAGAGGTACTCCAATTACAGGACAACATAAATTACTAGGAATAAACAATAGCGTAATTAAAGCTATTAAACTAAAACTAAAACTAAAAATATATAATATATTATAATACATAGTATTACATACAAAATGAAAAATGAAAAACAGTAGTGAAATGCTCTAGTTAAATACAATTAGCAAGGTGCGACATTCTGCTAACAGGGGAGTTCCTGAGAACGTTGGTCCTTGGCCTAGGTACAAAAAAGCTTACGGAAAAACGGGAACCCATTCTTGGCACTAAAAAGAAGACTTCGCCTAACAGGTCTTGACAATCAATAGAATTGGAAAGAAGTTTGAAAAAAAATTTCACTGCTTGTTGATTACGTCTTTTTGTCAATGATGTAAAGGAATGTTTTTCTAACAAAAGTGTGTAATCCGTGCCTCTTCCAGGATAAACTCCATTAGCCTTAAATGATATGTATTTAAGAAGAGTTTTCTGAATCCTTTCCAACTGAAGTTCGTAACAGTGATATAGTGGAGACCAGACTACACAAGCATACTCTATTTTGCTTAGAACCAATGCAAAATACAAACTTTTTATCACGTTACTGTCATGAAATGTTTTAGAGGTTCTCATAATAAAACCAAGTAATTTGTTGGCTGATCTGCAAATCATATCAATGTGACTGGTAAATGTAAGCTTTTTGTCAAAAATTACACCAAGGTCTTTTATCGTCTCTTTACGTTCTAACTGATAGTGTTTAAGTACATAATGTGTGTTAATTAGGTGGATTTTTCTTGTGTATGACACAAAGCAGCATTTGTCATAATTAAGAGGAAGTTTGTTCTGGATACACCAGTTAAACAGTATGTTAACGTTCTCCTGTAGCAATAACATGTCTTCATCATGGACAATTGAATGAAAGAGCTTAAGATCATCTGCATATGCTAAAGTCTTACACGTAAATGAAATAACCAAGTCATTAATAAATATGTTGAAAAGAAGGGGCCCTAGGTTTGATCCTTGAGGGACTCCAGATTTTGATACATATTCGTAAGATGTGAAGCCATTAAAGTGAACATAATTTAAACGGTTTGAGAGATAGGATGTCATTAATCTTAAAAGCTGCGGGCATAGTCCAAATGCACTTAGTTTTGATAGAAGTATATCATGATCGATTTTGTCGAACGCTTTTGAGAAGTCCACATAGATGACGTCTATCTGAGTATTTCTATCAATAGATTTACAGATGTCTTGAGTTATACATGACAAATTGGTGACTGTAGATCTAGAAGACATAAACCCATGTTGAAAAGGAGAGATGTAAGATCTAATTTTGTTATAAATAACTTCATATAGAATTTGTTCATAAACTTTACTAAAGATGGATAATATCGCAATTGGCCTGTAGTTCTTTACATCCGACCTATTGCCGCTTTTTAAAACTGGTACGATACGAGCTCTCTTCCATATTTCAGGAAATGTTGACGTTTGTAGAGATAGATTAATAATTTTTGACAACGGACGCGCAAATACATATCTACAGTCTTTTATAAGAAAAGATGGCAACATATCATCACCACAGGTTTCCTTATTTGCGAGTCTACGTAAAAAGTTGAAAACATCTTCTTCAGAAACACGACTCAATATAACCGGAGGTAAATACGAGTGAACATCTACTGGTTTATAGGAAGACGAGCTTGCAAAGATTTTTGAGAATTCCGAAGCGAATAAATTTACAATTTGTTGAGGATCATCATATGAATCATTATTATATTTCATAACTCCAGGAATTCTAGTGTCCTTATTTTTAAGACGAATAAACCGCCAAAAGTCCTTTGGTTGACTTAGTAATGAGTTCTCAGATCGTAACGTGAAGGCTTGATATGCTTGTGCAATCTGCGTTTTGATTAGTCCTCGCAGTCTATTGAATTCTAATAAATAGCTTTCATTTTTGGTGCGCTTCCATTTATTTCTGTGTCTTTCCTTTATTTTGATGTTTGCTTTTATGTCAGGAGTATACCAAATGGGATATTTGGAAGTGTAACATTTTACTTTTGGTACAAACTTATCAATACTTTTATAAATATTGTCATAAAATAGATAGAAAATTGTTGTGAAAAGATGGCCATGTATATTAAGAAAAAAAGGCAAAATACCCACCCTATCTCAATTCTGATGATTTTTTATTCATCTTAAGCCAAGAGGTGGAGCTTAACTGCAAAATCCTTATTTCTCTATGAAAAATTAAAAACATGTTTTTGAGTACAGTATTATCCAAAGAAAACATATGTATATTAGGAATAAATTAAAGCCAAAGATTAAGTCCCACCCATACCTGCCCTGATTTAAATAGTAATAAAATTTTCATTCGTCGGTAAACCTAGGAGCGGAGCCTAATTGCAAAATCCATATTTCCTTACGAAAATTTACAATTTTGAACGTGTTTTAAGTTTCTAAGTATAAAAAAAAATCATCACACTTGAGACAGGGTGGGTGGGCGGGATTTATATTTTGGCTTTTCTTCTTAATATACATAGCATTCTTTGAACACGATACACAAAAACATGTTTTTAATTTCTTGTAAAGAAATAAGTATTTTGCAGTTAAGCTCCGCCCCCTTGGTTCACGGCGAATAAAAAAAATCATCACAATTGAGACAGGGTGGGTGGGCGGGCTGCCATTTTGCCTTTTTGTTTTTAAATGTGTAGACTTCTTTTTACAACATGAAACTTACATGTTTAAAATGGAAAACTTGTATAAGGAAATATCAATATTGCAACTAGGCACCGCTCTACAATTGCAAAATACATGTGGGAAAATCGTCATTTCTAAGAAAGTTGTGTAAAAATTGTCGAAAAATGCAGTGATATGGACATCATGATGTAGATCTCGACGTGCTGATTCCAGAAATATAGCGTGTTTATGGTAAAAGAGCAACATTTTTGAAAAATTCGTCGCGAAATGCGAAATTTTTGAAATTTTTAAAAATTTCGACATTTCAACGATCGATTCTGGAAAAACGGTTGGAGTGATCGAAGAATCGAGGCCCAAAGTGTCTTCTGCGGCTCGAAATCTACGAGAAAATGTAT